TAACTGTTGTTGGTGTCATATTGTGTAGGATTGAAGTTAGCTGAAAGGACTTTAAAACTTTTACAGTTTTTGTTCAAGGTAGCTAAGGTTCGACCACTATATTTGTTTTGAAGAGTATCTAGGTCAGAGGAGTCTGGTTCAATAATGATGATGCTAGGCATTTTGTATGACTATCCTAGTATAGTGTATGTGCTAATAAAAAACAATTTTCAAATCAGATTAAATAACCTGATTTTTAGATAAAATTTTTTAATTTAGGAGCTTTATAGATAAGTTAGGAAGGATCTGAGAAATGTGGGACTATTAGAAAGGCTAATTGGATTTTTAGGAAATTTTAATGGGTGCCAAAAAAGTGAATTTTCCAGGACAACCCAGTGAATTTTCCTAAATTTATCAGTGAAATAACCTGCAAAAGCAGATTTTGTTTTGCCTTTTTTTTAATATCTCAGTAGTTTTGGTTTGTTTGCTATATATTATATATCAATATGACCGGAATGAAATGCTTGTTATTTTTCTAATAAGTAGCAATGTAGAATTAATTAGTAAAATATTTAGCAAATAAGCAAAAACCAAAATTTTGGTTTTTGAAACTTTTCTCAGTGCCCAAATATTGCAAAAGCATGAAACTTGGCCACTTAGGAGAAGAAAAATGAGCTAAGTAACTTTACTTGAAGGTGCAAGTAAGGTTTACATAATAAAATATTGAGGAATAATTAATGTTTTTAGTAAAAGTTTGGTACAAGTGATTTACAGAAAGAGTTACGGAATTGGTCATTTTTTTTTAAATATCATAAAGTATAAAAAATAAGTATATATAATAAATAAGTACATTTATGATAAATTTTGTGTTCTATAGATAAGTATATTTATAGTAAAATTTGTTTTTTATAAATAAACATACTTATAGTATCAACTGTATGCATATACAGTATATATAAATTATTATTATTCATTATTGTAATTTTTATCATTTTTAGTAATTTAATGTTGCACTAAATATATACAAGAAATAATAAACAATAGTAATAAGAACAACATTAGAATTTACTCTATCTAAAACTTAGTTTTACAAAAGAATTTAATAAATTATTTATACAATTGAATATTAAACCTATTTAAGCATTTTCTTAATTAGTTTCTAAATCATCAGTTAAAACAATGAATAAGTTCTTTAGGATTATTATTCTTTTTTTTCTTATATATAAGATAATTCTTATTTCAATTAATTTCATTTAAGATGCCATATTTTTAAAGGATTTCTTGATTATTTCAATAGAAATATCTTCCCAGACATTAACAATCTATTAACATATTATATTGTATGCTGGGTTTTTAAAATTATCTTTTTTAGTAAGTTGAAATTTACTATTTTCTATTCAATTTCTCTATTCATTATATAAGCAATCCTTGAAAGATTTATTTATATTAATATCTAATAGTTGAACAAATGATATAAGTTCTTCAGATATAACACTTATAATAATATTACATTTATTAATTTTTTTTTAATTACATTTGTTAGATGTTTTTTAAATGTATTTAAAATTAATAGACTTCTTTTTATTTCATAATAACACTTGATTTTTGTTTAACATCTATATTTCTTTTCATCTACATATTTTCAATCCAATCTTGTATTAAAGTTTTATTCATTTATCTTCATTCATGTATTCAAATTAATATACTAGGAGAAAAAAGACCTTTAGATAATCTTTTTTTTTGAAAATAATTATTAATAAAAATTTCATATCATTAGTTAGTACTGAAAATATACAAGTAAACTTATTCTTATTATTTCTTGTAGTTTTTATTTGTACAGTTTTAACATATCAATAATCAATAGGAAGTTGATCAACCATGTCAAAGAAAATTGGTGTTTCGTCTATATTTCCAATACAAATAATTTATCTTGTAAATCTTGAGATAATTTTTGTCCAAGTTTGATTCAATATGAAGAGAAAGATCATAATGATTCATAAAACCAAGGATTAAAAACTTTAAAAGTTTCAGATGTATTTGAATACTATTGAATAAAATCTATTATAAGCAAATTTTGTATTTTACATTTTACAGTAGAAGGCATTACAGCAATCTCTTCATAATGTAATTCATCAATCCAACATTTTAAAACTTTTTTTTGTAAGAGAATATAATGGTTTATGACCTGAATCCATTCATTAATTAAAACTTCTTGTCACTTTAAAGTTCTCTTCCCTTTGATGCCAATGTGAGACCATTGTATGGTTAATACCATATTTGCGTGCTGATTGAAAATTGTTGGTTCTTTTGGCATATTCAATAACTTCAAGTTTGAAGGTAATGGTATAACTTCTTGTTTCTTTTTCATTATTAGTTACTGATAGAATGTATATTATAAACAAGTCTACTCACTACGTGTTATGCAAGTTAGCTTATATCTCCGGTGCTATATTTGATACCTGATGTGACGCATTTTTTACTTATAAATATTATTAACCTGTATTATTTGTCACATAGGATATGTAGGATTTTTAAATAAACGCTAATAAACTCTAAATCAATTACGTTTTCTAAATCACGAGATTAACATGTTAGCAATTTTCATATTACTAGTAAATAAGCACATCTATTAATTAAAAAAAGCGTGTTTATTTTCCATACTTCACGGTATAAGTTTTATTTCGTTTTTACGTTTTACTAGTAATCTTAGAGTAACGGACTTTTTAAAATTATGTAATTTGATTACAAATATCGACAGATTAAAACAAATTTTTATTATACTGATCGGTTATAACTGGTTATAGTCAGCTATTGGTTGATAACCGATAGTAGCTGACCGAACACATCCCTAGTATAGTGACACTCAATTGTATTACAGGAGATCCATGATAAAAATAACGAATATATATTAAATAATATAAGATATATACAGTTTTACTATTGTAAATTTCAATAGCAAAACTGAAAAAAAAATAACATTAATATGTCACATTGTAATAAAGTAAATGTACATTGAGATTTAATTACCTTAATGATAATACAGTATTAGCAGCAATAGGCATATAATGCATAAATGTCAAAAGATAAATAGCCAACTAAAATTGACGTATTAAATAGACCAATCGAAATGATTATTTCTATTTTGAAGCATAAATTAATCTCTATTATTGCTTTAAACCAAACAATCACTATTTGTTTGAATAAGTTCTGATATGTATTCCTCATATCTTCTTAACCAGACATGTAAACTTTACATCTCTATAATTCATCAGGTATTTTTAAAATAACGTCATCATCATAATTGTGAGCTTTGATTCCTTTGTCCTTTTCATTATCACTACTCTTGTCACTTGCAATTAATAAAATATCAGCTTTATCTTCCTTTACTTCATCTTTTACAACAAAATTGTCCATTACTTTTTTTACATCTTTTACGATTTTAACAATAGGCTGTACATTTTGTCCGACATATAATATTGGTGAATCAGTAGAATTATTATAGCCTTGTCCACTACCACCTAAATGGCCACCTATGTTTTGGATATCGGCACCACCAGCATGACCACTAATGTTGTGGCTATCGGCACCACCAGCATGACTACTTATGTTGTGATTATCAGCACCACCAACGTGACTACTTATTTTGTGGTCATCACCACCACCAGTATGACTAACTATGTTGTTGCCATCTCCACCAGTATGACCATTACCAACATGATCATCACCATGACCACCTGCATGACCATTACCAACATGATCACCACCATGACCACCAGTATGACCATCACCAACATGATCACCATGACCACCAGCATGGCTATTAGAGTTATTTGTGTTAATGTTGCCACCACTATGATAATCTTGTTTGACGTTAGCACCACCTCCTCCATGAGGTCCACCATCATCGTTTCGTTTACCACCAGCATGCATATCTGTAATTTCAGATTTATATTTAAGAAAATCTTCATCAAGATTTTCACAAGACCTATTTTTATATTTTTTTAATTTCAAATGTTTCGAATGTTTGTAAAAAATAATAGAAGCTGTCAAACCGAAAATAACTAAACCACCACAAATAGACCCAATAATAACCCCGATTTTAGTAGATTCAGACATTCCAACAGGTGTAGATTCAGAAGAATTACTAGTAGAAACAGTTGAAGTAGGATTTGGTTTACTTCCAGAAGGACCAATACCGGGATTACTTCCAGGAGGAACAGGTGTATCAGAAACTTGATATGAAATATCAAAAGTAACAGATTGGCTTACAAAGAAATTTCCTATCAAAAGGCACCAATCAGAATTTATATAACTTTTTTGTTGCAAAGGACATGATCCAACAAGAGAAGTTGTAGTTCCGCAAAGAGGATTAGCAGTTGGACTAAGACTACTATCCAATAAATACACAAAAAAGCCACCCATATCAACTGGAGTAATCGAATTAGGAACAGTGAACGTCGGACCAGTAAAAGATCGCAAGATGGCATCTAATATTGAAGCATGTTGAAGGTAAGAGTACTTATACCCGAATCCGCCGCTCATGTCTATAGCAGTAGGATTTGAATATGTTGATGAGGTTGTGCTAGTATATGTAATGGCTATAAATTTTAAATATGTATGCGCATTAATAATAATGTATAAAATTCTTTTTAATTTAGCAATTTAAAAGGTGAGAATTAAAAGCAAATAATTGTAAAATAAATACATACATATAGAACTATACTTCTTTGAAGTTAATTCATAGCTTATTTGTGTACTTGTTTGAGTCTGGTCAGTCGTAAGGCATTTAATCAAATAAGTATAACCAGGAATTGTAACGGAAATAGCATTAATCTGATGAACCTGATGTGCAAATATATTCCCTATACGTATTAGAATTATGATTTACAAATTTATATGCGACCAATTAGAAATACTTGGATGATTATAATTTTACCGTTAAAACTAAAAGAACAACTAAAAAAATAAGATATTTCATTTTAAGCATTGCAAATCGAAATCTTTCACGAAAATTTAATGTTTTCGTGAAAAACCCGAAAAATCAAATTTAATTATCTATTACTTATATTTATAGTTATATTAGAGTCATTGCGTACGTACATACATACGATCTTTGCGATTTTTTGGCATAAATTTAGTTTATGAATACACTGACAAATAAAGTCACTATGGTGGTGCATGTATTGTACGTACATTTGTACGCATGTTAGTATGTACATAACATATAATGTCAATAACATTATATCATACTAAGTCTGTACAATACAGTACAATGTTAATTTGTGCAATGATTACGTACTTATTCAAAGTTTCTAGAAATCCATTAAACTTTTTAAGCATTCATTTAGCAGATCTGTTTGATCTGATAATAACAATGAACAAGCAAATTCATTTGCATATTCACACATACATACATACGCACGCACGATACATGTATAATCTGTAAAGTAATTTTTATCTTTATAAATTGTCCAAGGCGTAGCAAGAACTCAAAAATCAAGGACCCGTGAATGATCTGCAGTCAGTGTAACAGATATAATAAATTTGTTTTTCACTTTGAACCTCTATCAGATTGATTTCCTAGTTATTACAAATTTTATAGATGTTATTGAAAATATAAATTGTTACATGATTATATAACCGGTTCTTGTAGCACTTTAGTCTATTTATAACTCTTTTTAAAATAGCTTATTGGATAAATTTAGCAAGGAATCCATATGATGACGTATTTTGAACAATATCTGAAATTTATTATACATTTGTTCCTATATAAGTATTTCAATCTTTTGTATTACAATAGTGGAACTGTGTAGATCCGGAATTTTATCCATGCGAAATATTAAAAATTTAAGTAAATTTTGTATGACATATAATAAATTTTTTTCTATTTCGTGGTTCACATATAAAGTGGATGAAGTGCTATTATCGACGAAAAATAATTAACTAAAATTATTAAATAAAATTTATTGACGAAAAAAAAATCTACTGCTTTAGATTATAAATTCGAGTTCATATATATAATATATAAACATGTAATTTTTACTTAAAAACAAAAGTCAGGTATTATTAGTCATTGAAATAATTGTCATCAGTGTATAAAATCTGATTACAAATTATGCGCACAAGTAAAATTTTATATGTAACTTTACAAAAAATATGTGCATATAAGCACATTGTGCACATTAATTTTGTCATAATATTTGTGTAAATTTAGTTCATACTATATTGATTCTGTGAAAACACGAAATAAATTAAAAATGCTAAAATTTTTCTTTATAATTTGTAGGTTACATTTTTATTGTACATTAGGAATTTTTCTAAACTGTAATTCACAAATCAATTTCAAATTAGTAAATTTATTGCAGCAAACCTCAATATGATACTGTGTTATTGTTATTCTTTTGTTGCTATTATTTTCAGTAATTTAATTTAACTGTACTGTTTAAGATAACTCATTCAAAATTTATTAAAAATAGGAAGTCAATATTTCCACACCATAAAAATATTCAATAAATGTAGGGCTTATTTAGGTTCCTGTTCATTTCACCGAAAATCAGTTCACGACAAGTTTTTTTTTTTTATAAATTACACTAACCTTAACTCTAATTCTTACCTGACCTTAACGGAAATGACCAGAATTAATTGTCGGTGAATTGATATGAATAGATTATAACTACTCCGTATATCCTGAAAAAATGGTGCAATCACGCGATGATGTACCGACACAGCATACACTTGACTAACTGCGCTATACCCTAACACAAAAAATTTTTATACTTTTTTGAGATATGACGATTTTAAAACATCACATGACTGTTCACTTAAAATCAATCAATGAAATTGTAGCCAAGTTCTAAATAGAACCTGATTTTTTTATTATGTTAATCTCACTTGGACTTATAATAAACGTTGTAGAGATGGAGATAGAAATTACAATTAACAGTAATTAGGTTATACAAATCAGTTCATTGTATTATTAAATATGAGTAAACAAAATGTTTCATGATACAGTAAGTCAATTGTGATGATTTTACTACTATTGGAATTGGAATTTTCATTTCTATAATATTTATTAAGAGTTTAAGCAAAATTATTAAATAAGTTTTTGGCTTTTGTATTATTAATGTTAGAAAAATAGGTTTAAAATTTTTAAATTATTTATCTAAATAATTTCTATATACAAACATCTAATTTTTATATTTTTTAATGTAGTGTATTATTTAAAGAAATTTTGATTCTTAAATATTAAATTATTTAATAAAATAAATTTGAATTATATAAAAAAGGTTTAAAAAAGCTTATTATAGATAAAAAATTATTACTAATTATATGGAAGTGCTATTTTCTAAAAGGGTAACATAGTTGAATGAAGAAAGAATAAATTGTTGTATAAATACTAAATTAAGTCTATTAGTGATAATTTTATATAAATTTTTTGAATATATTTAATAAGGCTAATAGGCTTTGTTATATTAAGAATTCTGTTAAAACTATTGTCTTAGAAATAAAATAGATTTTATTATATTTTCATTATTTAGAAATTTGGCTAAAATTAAAATTGCAGTTAAATAAAGTTGTAATAACTTAAATGTATGTAGATTTAAAATTTTTAATTATTTCATATTTTATTCTTGTTAAATGTAGACTTTGTCATTTGTAAATTAAACTATTATATTTAATATTTTTTCTGTTAAGTAATAAATTATTTTATTTTTTTTAAATATTAAGGTAAGTACTTGTAACTCAGGATTTTATTGGTAGTATATTTGGCTAATGAATGCTTTACAATCACAGAAAGCAGCCATGAAAAGAGTGTACAACTAGCTACTCACACAACTTTAGTTATTATCTAATTTAAGTAGTCTGTCCAAAAGTTCTACACTAGTTGCTATACTCTTGTAAAATTCATCCCAATCCTGGTACTAACTTAACAACATATCCCTACTACTTTGGTATTCAATTTAAGTTCTACCAAACTGCCAACTCAGATAGCCTGAAAAGGCAGGTCATAACTATATACTTCTGGTTTACATGTTTGTCAACATATAACCTTTTTTTCTAAAATCTAAAAATTCTGATGACCTGGTTGGTTCATCCAGTCTCTTCTCAAAAACCAGTACATTTATTTGGTTTTATAAGTTCTAGTTCTGTTTCATAAATTTAGTCATTACAGTAACACTATTGAAAGTTCAAGTTATCTCTCTATTCAGGTCTTTCAAGTAAGCTTCTGTCTTTTTTTATTTGATTCCTATAATTTACATAGTCACAAGAACTTATTGTAGGTTTGCACTACCCAGTACCAGTTTGTATTCTTTCATATAACCACAGACCTTGTCCCAAAGGACAACATCATGTAACTGTTACACAAATGCCATGTAAACTATCAGTCATGCTAGTGTGATACAAATAATAAATATTTTATTCTAACTAATTGCAAGAAACAGTTAATCATAACACAAAGAGAATTTTTAAATTTTCTATTGATACTAGGATTTGAACTCTGGACCTTTTACTTAGGGGTTAACAATCTAACCACTTTAATAAGTCACCACATTCTGTAATAAATTATTTTATTTTAAGTTAATATATAGTTATAGTTAATAATTTTACTACTAAACATTTTAATAAAGGTTTTAATTAATTAGTTTATATACTCTTTAATTATTAAAGTCAGTTTGAATTTGTTGTTTAATAAAGTTTAGTTTAGAAATAAGTTAAAAAAATTTAATATTAGAAAATTGAATAAATTTATAATAGCAATTAAAAATATTGTTTTTGTCTATTTAATATTGTTAAAGGAGAATTAAATTTGTAAAATACAGTGTTAATGAAAATATAATGAATTGTTATTTAAAAATACCAAATGTTGCAAAACATTGTACTGCAGAAGAAATAAAAGAATTTGACAAGGCTAAGGCATAAATGCAAGATCTCAGTTGATTACTAAGATAGTTTTTATTACTAATATAGCTATTACTAATAATTACTATTCTATAGATTTCTCTTTTTTAACTCTTTAAAAAGATGTACTTATATACAAAAATGGCATACCACAAAAAGAGCCAGCATAGGAACCCAAGATCAAACATTTTCTTATTAAATTCAATAGTTTCAAATCTGTCATTATAATCAGAACCTTGAATGACCTTTTATAACACAAATAACTAACACAAAGTAGCTAATCTACTCCAACAAACAGTTATAGTTTCCAATTCTATATTATTATAGCATTGTTTCAGTTAGGTGACTTGGCTTTTAAGTTTCTTAAAATACAATTAATGCATAATAGTTGACTTGTTTTAAAGGCATTCTTGCTGGCACTGGGTTAGAGCAACTCTGGTATCTGTTTTGCCTTTAATAATATATAAAATAAGAGTTTACATTTTTTTTGTTAATAAAGAAATATAATTTTTTTTATATTATATATATAGTACAACTGCTTCTAAATATTATTAACATATTTAAACTATTTATTAATATGGTTGAGTAAGTAAATAGATCAAAAATTAACTATAATTAGAAGTTAATAAATTTAATATAAC